CAACTGCGACCGGCGAATGCTGAGCCGAGCAGCCACTGCCCAATACCTCGCAGCACACACGCTGGCCTCGTTCAATATCATCACATTTTTTTCTCCCACCGAAACGCATTTGCAGCAAATGAAAAACGCCCGCGTGCCGCCGATCTGCAGATAATGTAGGCCATCATTTTGCACGATTTGACTTTTTTGCCGAGGTGCTAAAATCTAAGGAGCCGACGCATAAAAAACGTCCCCCCTCACACATGCACCGCTTTTTTCCGTCTAGTGCGGCAGAGTTTCTGATGCCAAATTTCACTTCTGCTTCTAGCGCTTCGCTCCAGCTGATTTTCTCTCTTGGTTGAGCGTCGTCTGTGTTAGGAACTACTGCTTTATATTTTAACACTAAAATTTTAAAATTGTGTATTACTGAAATTTTTTGCTTTGTAATTTAAACTGCAACGCTAAGCATTCATAATTATTTAATAAAATAATAATTATTGTTTTAAAAAACAAGCAAATGAATAAATCAATAAAAGAGACGTCTTTTTAGTCAAATTAGTCAAAAGTGGATTTGTCAATTAAATTTTAAGGTGTATACAAATTAAAGATTTTCATTACTAACGTCCTGGGTGCAATTTATTGTTTGAAATAAGCACAATCTGATTTTGTAAAATTCTCTAATTAAAAGAAAATAAAGAAAATATTTTGTTTCCAATTTAAAAATCAAAACTTTATTTTTAAGCGAAAATCATTTTGTTTTTGCCCATTCACAAGTAAATTAATTATAAAAAGGAGGCATGATAAGCAAAATAAAACCTTGAAAACTGAAGCAGGAACTAAATGAAGCTCTTATATTAAAGCCATTCTTGGCTGCAATGTTAAAAATAAAGTAATTCTTCAAATTATTAATATCTTTTTTAATAAACCCATATCATAAAAGCCTTTTTTATCTGTAAAGAAAAATAAATATAATATATATTTTTTCTACTTGATTATTTAACTTAAAATATTTACAAAAAAATGATTAATATCATTAAAACTAAATTCCACTCTGTATTCAACAAACTTTCTAATTAAAGTGCTTCGTGCAATGCTTTGGTTGTTTTCTCAAATTTAAACTAATTGAAGGTTCCGCGATTAATAAGAGTGAAGCAAAAAAAAACTCAGCTTGCACAAAGTTAAATAAAGTGTTGAGGCGGCTCTTTCAGTTCATTTTAAAGCTATTTTTCTATATTTTAATCAACCTTTGTCCTTTGCTCACATTGAGAGCTCAAACTTTCATTCGACATCAGCCCTAATTAGTTAATGAGAACCAAATAAATTATTTTGCGATTGCCCAACAAGACGCTAAGGTCGTTGCGCAACTCCTGCGATTAATCAATCAATCACGGCTTGGATCCAGGGGGCCGAGTTAGGCCACCCGCCTGACAGATCTGATTAACAAATTGCCTACCTTTCATTGTGAGGCCGGTGCGAATCGTCAGTCAACTCCATCCGCTCGCTCGCTTCATCTCCCCGCCTCCCACCCCCGCCCGCCCCCTCGTTCGCTCCATCGGTCGACCGAGCTGTTCTGAATATTCGATATTCAGCACATACCGCCTCACACCTCCGTCCGCACATTTGAATAATTTGCTCCAACGGCGTGCAAAACTGCATCAGCAATCATCATTAACTGAGTTGTTCGCCGTCGCTTCGAACTGCCGACTCGTTCAAAATGATGACCAGATATTAATTATTTGGAGGCTATATTTGCTGCGGCAACCATTGCAATTTTTTAAGTTATTAAATTAATTTAATAATCAAGAATACAGAAATAAATAATAAATTAGTGGAATTTTGCTAAATTACACAAAATTACTTGTAGTTGGTTATATTTTTTTGGATTTCACTTAAGTATTAAATACTTGATTAAAGCCAATTTCAGTTTTACTAGAACTTACATTTTTTATTTTTTTCTATGCCACAGTTTTCAAAATAAAATAACAAAAGTTTAAATCTTTAAAAAAAAAAATGGAATTAACAAAACTTTTTATGCTTTTATTATTATCTCCATTTTAGCTAAAATTACAATCAATCTTATAATCAATTTTTTTTTTTTTAAAAATAGATGATTTGAAAAGATTACAAATTTAATACTAGTATTTCACCAGCATAATTAAAAATTGATTAAACTTTATAAGTTCTTTCATTCTGTTAAATCCAATTCAATTTGTTTCCTTTGCTGCCATATTTTGTTTCAGGATTGATCAAATTTCTCTGGCCGTTCTTTAACCACACCCGAAAGTTTGACCTGACGTAATTAGGAGGCGCATTCTTCGGTGCCGAAATAAAATTTGCCGCTGGCTGATTGAGTTTGGCGGCGTGTCGCATTTTGGCAGTATTTTGCTTGCCCGGTCGTTCCCTCTCGAGCTGCTACTGGAGAGGCACTCGAAAGGTTTCCGGCAAGAAGTTTTGCCGGCAAGTAAATTAAATTATGGCGTGTTTTGTTGCCGACAATCGAAGCCTTTCGTCCGGTGGGAGAGAGGGAGAGGTGGAACAGATTCTTCACATAAAGGCACTTGAGTAAATCGGCCGCTGAAAGCATTAAAATTGTATGGGCCCTAATGGAGGAAAGATGGTGAATTTGCAGGCTGGTCCATTAAGGGCGTGCTGCGGCGCCAGAATTTTAAGCTGGCGAAATTGCAAACCAAGTCAACCACTAGCATCATCACCATTTCCAAATTTATGTAAAGCAAAAATTTCAAATAATTGTGGATTTTGAAATTAAAGAGTATAATTATGCATTAAATTTTTTTCTCAAACTTTGTTCAGAAGATTTTTATTGGCCTTTGTTCAAGACTTTGCTTCATCTGAAAATTCAATAAAGAAAATTTATGCAATTGACAACTCTTAATGTCAAATTTATTCAGTTTTTTTCAATAGCCAAATTAATAAATTGATTATAAATATTTTTATATTACTTTTGTAATTTAGAATTTTTTATTTTACGTAAGTTTGCATTGTTTATAAACTCCAGTTATAAATGGAATATATTATATTTCTTTTAATCAGAATTTTTAATGTAATTAAGTCATTCCAGAATTGCACAGTGGTGCAGAAAAGCGATGGGGAAAGTATAACGACCGTCAGTGGGGGGATTGTGATTTATTCAGCCATTAACAAACACGCACACGATTATCGCATTGTCAAGCCGCCGGTAATAAAAATTAATTTAGCAAAAAAGGCGGTGCGCGGCGCCTCGGCAAATTAATGGCGCGCGAATAATGAAAAAGCGACACCGCGAGGAGGCCCCGAAACGAAACAGCTATTATCCGGATTTCATTGTTTGCAGAGCTGCTTTTGTCTCTTTCGCTACTGTGCAATGTAATAAACGATATATAAACGCCAGGAATGTGCCCCGGCGAAGATTTTAAGGCGCCCGCGACAATTATTTGCGTTCGTGACAAAGTGAAGGCGGGTGGAAAATGATTTATGCATTGTTTCTCTGTTCGCGCGTATTTGTTTCTTTTGTTCCCATGAATAAGAGAATAAGAAGACCGCAGGGCTCTTGCGTAAATTAATTACTACTAAAATACAAATTTCACTGGAATTAAATTGGCAATATTACAGAAAACTATTTAAAAAATATTTTTCAATAACCGTTAATAGAAATAACTTTAAGTTTTGATTGGTATATTTTATTGTTTTGCAATAAAATGAATTTAATAAATTATTACATGTAAATAAGTCAACAAAATAATTTTATTTTTAGTATCAAATTTTATTAAACTATTTGAAAAGCGCTGAATTTTCAACTAACCAAAATTTGGAGTCCCAGTAAGTTAAAAAATCAATACCTTTTTCTTTCACCACTTTAAAAAAAATTTCCAGTAGCATAACATTGGTGGTAATAATTTCCTTCTTTCATCACCATCGTTTCTTACGTACGAAAATTGATTTTTGGCGACACTTCTGAATGACGCACAAATGCTATTCACGGTGTTGAAGCATCAATTGCTGCCAGAAGAGCGCCGCCCGAAAGAGATACAAATCAGTTTTCATTAGCCTTGCATGTCTAAAGTGGGCGAAGGGGTCATACAGACAGCACATCCGTCCCCGACGTCTAGGTAGGCGGGACACAAAGAAAAAAGGAGATTTTCCAATCGACGGCAGATTAGTCGAGGGAGCAACAGAAATAACGGGGGCCGTTTGTTCGATCGGAGACAAACGGAAGAGGACAAAGGGCAGAATTGGAGCACAAATGAATGGACGACGGGCGCGCTTGATGCAATTAAAAGCGACCCGTGTGAGCCCACACGGCGAGCGAATAACAAAAAGCTGCTGAGCCTGCCCTATCGCTGGAAATAAGAGCGGAGCAAGGAATCAAGAGGCGGCCTCGAGAGTCCTTGTTAGCATGCGGCACCGACCTAAAAATAAAATACATTGTGCGCTGCCTCCAGAGGGACGGCAGGCCTCCCTCCCGCCGCCTCCGCCGGTCCTCTCGGCTGCTTTTGGATTCGAGTGCTGAGGGAGAGCGCATCATCCGAGCACCCCACTTACTTACTTACAGACATCGCTACTCGCTCCGTTGCCCGATTTCGATTTTCTCAATGCAAAACGATCATCTCTTCTGATTTGGTAACTTTAATTTGCATGAATTTAAAATTAAAATGTACTAAATGAAATAAATATTCATTTAATTTTTATCAAGTTCTCAGGTTCCTTCAAAACTGCGTTTTTTTGTACGCGTTTATTCAGATTCAATTTTTTTTTCTCGAGTTAAATGAAAATCATTTATATAAATGGAAAAGCTGATTTAATGGATATTTTGTACTTTCAATTTAAAATTTTTGCAACTTTCAAAGTGGGATTGTAAGCACAATTTTACCCTAGTATTTTGTAATGAACTTGGGCTTATGATTTTTGGAAAGATCTTTCATCGTAAAATTAATTTATGTAGCTTATAATAAAAAAAAACTTGAATTTTGGGATTTTTATACTGTCGGAAATTTTGATAGAAATAAAACTAATAACTAATATAATTATTTGCGCTTGAAATGAGAATTTTATTAATTTTTTTAAACTTTTTTTTCATTAACTGATTTTTTACGAATCTTGTAAAATATTAAAATTATTTATGCATTTTCCATAGTCATTTAAAATCTCACAGTCGAAATACAAAATCAAGGATTCAACCTTTAGGTGCTTTGGTTGACTTAGGTGCCTTGGTTTTGGTCGTCTTTGGAGCTTTGGTGGTCTTCGGGGCTTTGGTTTTGGTTGTTTTAGGCGCTTTGGTTGTCTTAGGTGCCTTCGTTTTAGTTGTTTTTCCGGGCTTCACCGTAGGCCCACTCGTGGTCGAGGTAGCTTCAGAACTCGGCGGATCAGTCATCACATCAGTGCTCGAATCCGTCACCACATCAGTGGTTGACTCAGTCGATGAATCAGTCTGGCCACTGGTTGGCGCAGAAAGCATCAACTGTGGAGATATTTACCAATGAAGAAGTTTGCAGTTTTTCGTCGTATTTGAATTTTACCTGGACAGCAAAGACGAGAACTAACAGCTTCAGCATTTTGAGAGTGTGGCTGGTTTGTTACTGAACGAGCCAACTGATCGCCAGTCTTTTATACTAATGCTCGATCGCACGTTTTTGCTTGCGAAATTTCCATATTCGACGTAGGCGACACGGACAGGACGCTCATACGTATATTTCGCATTGGGTAATCACGTATGAAATATGAAAATTTTCATGACCATGAGCTAGTTGCAGTATTTCATTTCAGTTTTGCACCATAAAGCTGTCAAAATTGTAATAAAATTCTACAAAATGGAAGATTTATGTCTCCCATACTTTCCCATCATATTTCAAAAAACTTCACTGACGTTGAAAGTTAACGTAACGTTGAGCAATTTTATCTGGAATATTTCATGATATTTCATACAAGCAAAAGAAAAATATGAATTTTTGACCAGCGTAGTCAAGATGCATTTTGTCTAGTCATAACAAGAATGCGCCTTGAAATCCTCTCCAATTAATGATATGTTCAAAAATCATACTTTTTGACTTAAAAACAGCGTTGAAATTGTAAGTATAATTTTGAAAAATCCAGCATTTATTATATTATTCAATTAATATGTAGACACATTTCTTGTACTGTTTATTCTCTTTTCAGGATTGAAATTCGTTATCAAATTTTGCAACTTTTCATTTATCTCTGTGCTAAGCATGTTAAAGATCCATTGAATTCCAAAAACAAAAAATGGCAACTGGCAAATAATTTAAATTAAATTTCAATTAAAAAAAATCAATGATAATTTTTCAATAGAAAGTTTACAGACAATTTTTGAGTAACCCAAACGTTAAAGTTGACCGATTTTCTTGGCGTTATTTATATGTTTTAATTGTATATTTTCTGAAAATCTTTTGTGAGTTTGCTCTATTAAAATGAGATTATATCTTAGATACATATTATGGTTATCAATTGAGTTCAATTTTCAGCTTACAAGAATTTAAACTTTAAATTTTTTTTATTACTTGAAAAACGAAAAAAGAAATACCTTCCCTCAAATAATGAGCCGTCAAAAGAAAGTGCGAGAGACTAGTGATTGTACATAAGTAATTACCATTGACATCATAAATTTTAATACAAAATTATATCTTTGTCAAAAATTTACAATTTGCCATACATTACTAGCTAGAACAGCTTCGTCCAATTTGTAAATGCTCAATCGCTTTTGTGAATTAGATTTATTAATCATGATTTAATATTCTCAGAGCATTACTTTAATTAAAAATAAAATTTAATTACATCATCATTCTCACAAACGCACTAAAAATTTATTAAATTACCATCTCCAGCAGAAAAACTTTAAAAATTTATGGGGAAAACACAGCTGTTGCAAAATTTTTGCAGAGTATTTCAAAACGCGGTCATTTCCGCTTACAAAGCAAGAAGCGCTCTTTCAAGATTACTTTGAAACTGTGCATTAGAAGTAGGAAGTAGGACGTGGAACGAGGAGAAATGTACAATCCGCCTAGAAAGACTTTCGTCAGATCGAGTTTCGCGTTTTTACACCGGAATGCAAAGGTGGGACTCGCGAGCGAGCGACGACACCAGGAGATTCTTTCTCTCTCTCTCTCTTTTATTCCGTTGCAGAGGCAACTAAAAAGTCCTGACGAGATTCTCTGCCGTCGCTGCTGTCAGCACTCAATTACCAACTTGGCCGCGATCTCGCTCACTTCGTCCGCAGAAAAGACGAGTCGACTTCACCAAAACTTTACGTAACAGTTTTTCTCCGCGAATTTTATTGTTTCCGTCGCTATACACCATATGCAGTTTTAATGTACTGCAAATTTTAAAAGCTATAAAAGTTTTAGAATCGGAACGCGTAAAAAAGTCAATTTTATATTATGTTTTTTATGCTCCGAGTCGGATTACGACCGAGTGGTATAAAAGTAAAAATACTTCACCACACACGTGTTCGAGAATTCCGTGATAAGATTAATGACTGTGAGCTGTAAATATATTTACGGCCACAATGTCGCGTTCCGTGAGTTTTTTGCCAACTTCGGGGAATGCGCGTTCATGAGTGGAAAAAGTGACTGTTGTTTTTCGGTGCAGGCCATTAAAAAACCATTTTTCACGAATCTCATTATCAGAAGGGAAGGGAAAAAAATGCGGATTCTTTGCCACAAAGTAGTTTTATAAACGGTAGAATATTTGGTACAAAATAAGACACTTGAAATAATACATTGAGAATTTTATTATTTTATCACCTTCTTCTTTTCCATAAAAAAGCATGTTCCTTTTTTCTGACATTATGCACAAGCATATTTAGAGGGTACGTTTAATTATGAAAGATTTTGATTCCAAAATGAGTAAAAAAAAAACATTTTTTCCAATCCAAAATGCTAAGTCAAAATATTCTGCATATATAAAAATGCATAAAAATTCTCATTTCTTTTTGCTAGAATTTTTGAATCCTCGTTAAAAAATGGGCAGTTTTTATATATATTTCAATTTAACGCAACAATTTTCAGTATCGAAGTAAAAGATACTCAATATTTATCATTTTGATGCTGGCATTATCTAAAACGTACGTTTTTTTATGCAAAATTAAATATTTCCGAGGATAAATCTTGTGGACCAATTTTTGCTTTAAACTGATTTTAAGTCGTATGAGAATGTGAAAATTAGCAATATTTTCACAAAATCTTTTCGTTGAATAATAATTTAAATTAAACACAAGCGACTGCTACAAAAAATCACTCTCAAGTCAATTGAGATATCAGTTTGAAACTACACACAATTTATTAATTTAATTTTTTTTTAATTGACACGCGGCAATTTAATCAAAACAAAATTTTTATTTTTTGTTAAAAAATCTAATTTAAAATTTTGTGTTATTAATTAAAATGCGTTTATTTTTAAATTAATAAATTAAAACGCACATTACTGTGTTTATATGATTTAATTTAAAAAAAAGTTAGTTTTTATGAACACAATGATGTATGTTTCCATTTATTAATTTAAAATGCATAACGTGCTTTACAAATAAAATTCTTTATTTTTATAGTTCTTTTATCCAATTTTGTGCAATAAATTGCTTACTTGAGACAGTTTTTTGCCATAGATATGTCACGTAATTACCAGCGGAACAAAAAGTGCCGCATCGGATCGAAGCTGTACTTGACAACGGTGCTAAATTTCACCCCTTGCGACTCTCTCACCCCTATTCGAGATGCATCAAACGGAATGAAATGCAACCCAGTCTCTTGGCGGTGCCCCAGGGCCAAATGAACATCCGCCCAGGTGTCCGCTCTCTCGCCTGGAACAAAACAGTTCCCAGATGCATAATAGCAAAGTCCATTGAAATAAAAGAACTCCGAATTTAGATCGTAGATGGTCGAATAATTCAGCACACACAACGGTGGAAAAACGAGAAGAGAGCAAACATTTTTGGCAAGGAAAGATGCATATTCAGAGCTTTATTTTTTTTGCTCTCATTCAAAACTTCGTGTGCCACCCACTTGTCAAGTGAAAACCCCATTTCGCTGCCGCCTCCACAGCTTCATTTTCCCACGCGTCACGCCTCCACCTTTTGAATTTTTCAAACGCAATTCTACCATTTTTCTCATTTTTTAGCAAATCCCACCAAAAACATCTTCAATCTCTTAGGTCTTTATTTAGACACTCTCTGACGTAAATTTAAATAAGAATATTGAATGCTTTTTTTATTCAAAATGTATAAGAACCGTATAAAACATCCAAGGAATGTCATTTAAATTATGATAAAAAAAACTTCTCCTCAAAACATTGAAAAACTTTAATTTGATTTATTTTAATCCGCCCCAAAAATCAATCCGGAAACAGATATTGGCGAGTTGCTTTATTCTAGTCCTCAATCTTTGAAACTATTAACGACTTTAATTTTTTTGCAAAAAGGGCCTTTTTAGATTTTTTGACTTGTTACAAATAAGTTATTTTAAATGATTATCTAGAATACTTTTTACAAAAACAAAATTTGCAAAAGAATTTTTTTTTCCTTGTATATATATTTTTTTAATGCTTAAGTATTTCCAATTCTGTGAAAATATCTTGTGAAATTATAACTAATTGCAATTTAAAGAAGGAAAGCTCCCATTCAAGGTCTTAAGTTAATTAGGAGCTCGGAGAATTTTCCTTCATATCTATTTCGATATCATTAAATATTTGACAGCAACAAAATTAATTTTTTTTTTTTCAAATTTTTTGCAGACACAGCATGGGCACTGGCGGCAAGTGTCGCGTCAGCTGCGGCGCCACCGCGTCGACATAGGCGATGGCTCGGTGGCTGGCCGCGGAAATGCCTCAGCATGCGGCCGAATACTTCAAGGAGACGACGGGGCCGCCGCGGTGCTGCTCGGCCATGGATTACCTGCCGCGCGCCCACGACTTCGAGACCGACTCGAATTCGTCCTCCTCGTGGGACTTGGCCGAGGTCGAGGTTGACATGCGACGGCACATCCAGCAGTGCTCCTGCACGTGCAACCACATGGGCTTCGGCAATTATATGGACTATCCTCCGGTGAGTACCTTTCGAATGAGTTTAAATTCGTGCTGAACTATCGATTTAAAAATAATTTATTTAAGAAATAATATTTAAAATTAGAGAACCACAGAATACATAAAATTTTAAAATTTGAATTCGGTGTGGAAAAAATTAATCTGAAGTCTTTAAAAATGAATTATAAAATTGTTTTGTCAAATTAGAGGAATTTATAAGAAAAATTTACTGCTTTTGTCACGATGAATGAACAAAACGTCTTATTTAATTATATAATTCTCTATTCTTGGCTAACGTCAGAGCGGATCATGTGCACGGAAAGGCTTAGGGATTAAATTAGAACAGGTTACGGACGCGGGGAATTTATTCATTTGGTCTGTTCTCTGAGAGTTTCAGCGGCGGTTTAGGTACGAACGTACGAAACCGCGTAATACATCAAACCGCATTTCGTGAACTTTTGCTTTAAGCGGATTTTCAGCGATACAGCGAAAGCGAATTTACGGCGCATTAATTTTTGAGCCCACTTGTCCAAAAATAATGATTCCGAGAAAGCTGTTCAAAGTGGAAATTTGTTGTTATATTTCAATTCAATTATCCCCTTTTATCCACTTAAATTTATAATACAAAATTACTTCCTGAAATTGAATATTTATCAAGACAAAATAATTTTAAATCCATTTTTTTTTACTGTCTGTTTAAATATTTAGAATTCTTCAATTATCACAATAATTGACTTACTTTTAGCAGACTTGTCATGTTTATATATTTCAATTATATTTCAATTACATTCGGCTAGTAAAATATAATTATATTTATGTTATTTTTGACTTCATTTTACATTGAAATCTGATTAAAGATGACTTTTAAAATAAAATTATTTCAATGCGGATGTAAAATAAATCATTTTTATTTGTTTTGTCACGCACACTGATGACGGCGCGTGGTTGGGGCGAGTTGTAAATAATTACACGCCATAAGCTGTTTTTAACTTTGAAGAGAATCTCCCCTGCCGAAATGCGCCCATAAATCTGAACCCGTCCAGTCAGTTTATTTGGGGCGGAGAGAGAACCAGCGTGGTGATAATTTTTGTCGACTTAAACTCGCGACATTCCGGCAGCAGGCGATTAATTTGGAGACTCCTAACCGCCATTTAGGGGCCAATGAAAAATCTCGTTTGGCCGCCAAACTAACACGGCTCTCGCATTAGGCCTTTATTATCGCGCACTCTGCGATTGCTCACAAAAGCGGCCCCGGCCGGCCCCAGAGTGGCGCTCCTTTTACGATCCACCGCCGGCCGTGCATTATGAAAATCGCTTGTTTGCAGGTAAATTTGACAAAATTATATTGTCTGCTGCCACTAAAAGCTCCAAATCTCTCTTAACGCGAGGCTGGACGGCGCTGCGCAACTCATTACGGCTCTCAGCATGTCAATTTCTTTTAAACTCACACAGCACAAAAGTATTTTGGAGTGTTTTTTTTTTCAAACGAGTTGTTTTCTACTCATTGAAATCCTTTAATTTAAAATATTTTTCAGTGTAATTTTTAGCTGGGAAAATTTTTTCACAAAAGATCTGGGAACTCATCAAGCAGAGACTTTATGTTTAATGCAATACAAGTGCTCGGGTTTGTTTTACTTTAATTTTTAGAGATATAAATTTTAATGGCCTCGGAACTCTTTATGAATGACTTGAAAACGCGTGTGACTGAATCAATTACATATTTTAAACGTCCGGTATATAGTTAAAACATGAACTCCTAACTTTCAATTTTGCAATAGACAGGATATTGTTTACCACCGTCATCTGTGGCGTCAACGTGCAGTCTGGAATATTCCCTTTTTATTGCATCCGCTGCATAATTTATCTTTTACATAGTTCATTATCAAATTTTGCAGCTAATATATCTCTCGGGACAGGACATGTCAAAGTTTCAATGATTTCTATCAAAATAAAATCAGACTGTAATTTATGGTGGCCTTCCTGCAATACATCATAATTTAAAAAAAAAAATGCAATGACGTTGAAAGTTTGGACAGAGTTGAGAAATTTCATCTAGAAAATTCTTAATAAAAAAGTTGATTTTAATTATTGATTAATTTTTATCATTTCTGTTTTAAGTTGCAAATTTTAAAACAAGTTTTTAAACAAGCCCATGAAAATTGTAGCTGAAAATTCACCAGCAATTAATTTATAAATGTTGCTACTTTATATAAACACAGTTTACATTAAAAATGGTTAAAAGAGTGAATTTTCTTTAATGCATCATTATTATTGTTGATTTGGAGAATTTTTCCTGGCATTATTGTTGTTTATCAAAATTGTTACGTCAAATTTTTTACATTCAGTTTTTGAACACATTTAATTGAGGAAAAAAAGCATTTTAGTCTTTAAATAAAGTTAATCCACCAAAAACTCTAATTTGTTTGCACATGAAAGTATTTTTTGTGGCTCATAAACAAATAATTCGCCTGAATCGCCCACTAAACCGGAGCAACATAAAAGTCAAAAGGTTATCCGCATTCGGTGAGCTCGACAGCGAGTTTGTTGTTTTCCGTGCCCCGCGGCGTTGCTCAAATTAATTTGTCCGGGCAGACTGGCTGGCAGAGCGAGTGTGTTTGGCGCTACCTTTTCACTGTCGCGCGCGATCAAATGGCATGTGACATAAATCCGCGCTTCCTCTCTGCCAGCCCTGCGCGCACCGATGTACCCGACTCTTTTTTTTCGTGTGTTATGTGCGCGGTCAGACTCCATTATGCGATGAAAGCAAAAGTGGTTTGTTTGCCGATGTCGCCGCTAGCGCTGGTTAATTTTTGATTTGTTTACTCCCCACGCCAATTAACCGCAAAAGCCATTAATTTGCACTTCGTGTTCGACAAACGCGATTGATGAATTTTGGCGGATGACAACGACACTGATGTGTTCATTAAACTATCTGTAATATTTATGCAACATAAATGAATGAATTTAGGATCAAAGTGCGATAAAAAAAATTGATAGAAAAATTTGTGATGCAACGTGATGACTATTTTCTTTTTTCCTAACTCAAGTGGAACTCTAAATTTTTTTTGAAAAATAAAATGAAATTTTTTTGGGAAAATTTCATTTTCATTTGGTATAATTGGTGCTGTTGTTAAGTTAAACACCTTGACTTCCAATCAAATTTTGAATATACTATTCTCAAATATTAATATCTTGTTTGCATTCATTAAAATCATAACAAAAACTCAAACCGAAACCTACTGAGAAAGGGACTTTTTACATAAAATTTAATATTACATTTCGTGACGTGTTAATTAAGATCGGAATAGGCTGAATAGAGTGAAAAACGTATCAGCAGCAGTCAATACAATAATATTTCAGTTTAAATCCCTCGTTGTAAAGAAATTGGTAGTGATTCTTACTTTTTTTAATAGACCAACATTTTAGACCATTAAAACGACAACTCAAGGTATATTTAAATTCTAAAAAAATTAAATTAAATTCTCAAAACGTTCGGCAATTCAGAACTTTTACTTTTTTTTCTATATAAAATATAATGTGAAGTCTCAAATTGAGATATTTTTTCATGAAACAATTTTATTTCTCAATTTTCGTCAATAATTTTTTCATAGTTATTCTCTTAAAAAAGTCAATATAAAAAGAAAAAAAAACTGCAAATGAGAACCTCAAAGACGAAATTTATTAGCAAAAGCTTTATTCAAATCTTCTAAATCCACAAATGGAGGCAAACAGCAAGAAGTCCTCATATTATTTGCCCGCAAAAAATTCCAAACGGAGCCAAATCTGCTTTTGAGCTACCTTATCGTCGAAAGTAAATGTAATCCGAATTCCCCGGTGGCGCACGTAACGGTCAAAAAACGACCAAGTCATCACATTTGGAACAAAATCACCGCGCAGGGAAATGGAGTCGGAAAGAGGCCGACTTTTTGCATGAGGGCTGATGAAAAGGTGGCCAAATTGCTGAGGATCCATGCGCATCTCGCTCGAGAGCAGCCGCATAGATCTCATTGCAAATTCGAGTCACAGGCGGCCCAATTGCGGGCGGGTCACGTATCTCGGGCGTCGCTTCTCACCTAGAGCTGCATTACATTTCGCAGGACTGATCACGAGCAATTTCGCGCCGGCCTGTCTGTTTGTCTCTCGTTTTCCTAGCACCGAATTCACTTGGCGTGTCCCTTTTCGGCTGCTCTGTTAGGGGATTGGTCACGTCGTCCTCGGAGGGCTTAATGCTCTTGCCGCTGCTCCGAGAGGGTCTTATCGAGAGACTGTGAACCGTGTGTGGCGTTCCAGGTTTGAAATATTGCCCCGCGCGCGTGTGTGTGCGTCGACTTTTGTTAAATATTGACGGTGTGCACACCTGATCGCTCCGACGCACACGTTTGCAAATAATGTCTAGAATGAGGAAAGCGTTTTTCTTATATATACTGACTAAATAATGGTTGTGCAAATATTGATATAAATTTGGTATGAATTTTTAGTACATTTGGAAAAGCTAATATCAATCTTATGGAAATTTTTCTGAAGAGGATAACTTGATGAGAATTCAAATTTATGAATAGTATTTAACCCAACAGTACAACTTTTTTCCAGATATTTTTGCAAATATTTTTTTTATTTAAACTTTAGTAAAATTTGTTTGAAGAAATTGACACTCGGGAAGTGAAGAAGTCAGGCTTTTCCTCGTTGTAAAATTTTTACTCAAAATAGGTTTGCACTTGAATTTGCTAGTTTTAAGATTTTAATTTTTATGTTAAAATGTGGCGTATTTTAAATTTTTCTGATTTTTTTTCTTGCTCATGAAAAAGAGACGCAGACCGTGACCGAAATTGGTAGAACCATGTTTTTGAATATTAACTTTTGCAACAAGGAAAAGCCCGACTTCTTCATTTTAGTACAATTGTTTTGGTATTTCTGAGTATTTTCTAAAATAATGAAATTATTTTATAATGATTTTTTTTTTAAATAAGTTAATTTCATGTCATTTACAGTTTAAGTTTTTCTAAATTTTAGATTTATTATAAA